TTCCCCTCCCCTCCCCCAGCTGATTTCACAGGGGGGATTCCCTTCATTTGTCACCTGCAGGCTGGGCGGAACTTACTAGCCCAAAGGAAAGTGTGAAGTAACTGGTGTGGCCCTGTGCCTCTTCCACTGCCCTGCCTCCCAGATCTCAGGTCCTTTCCAGCTACCTGTTTGTCAATCTGTCCATCTTTCCAGGCTCCTGGCCACCAACATCCTATTTAGCCTCCACTATCCTGAGGGGCTGTCCCATTTTCCACATCCATTTCCATCTCCAAGCCCCACCACCCAAGACCAACATTTCATTTCAATAGGGAGTTTGCCAGGTAGTTGTTAAGAGTAGCAATTAAACCAATTCACACCAATATGTGCAGTGATCATCTAAGAATATCTGCATTTTAGGTATGTTTTTAAACCAAAAAAAAATATATTAAAAAATGAAGTTACAATGAGAATTTCAGATCAGTAAAGCTGTGTTTCAACCAGGAATCTCCCAGGTACTTACTCAGTGGGCGTTTATTCTCATACTTATTCTACCTAGGCCCTGTGAAGGAAGAGAAACAGTTTATTGGGATGAAAGCTAACGATTTGCTCATAAACAGGTGCCATGCTCCACCAAGTTCTGGCTGCATCTGACAGCCTTGTAAACGGCTAAGCTGTCATATGGTTTAGTCAGGACAATCTGAGTAATTTAAGTTATCACCTTCCATCCCTGATATGAAGAGAGAAGGTAATCAGTGTTGTGGACTTTGGATCAGGGAGATATTAAAGGCAGCCTCTGCCTTTTGCCAGCTGCGTGGTTTTGGACAGGCCACAGAACCTTTCTAAGCTACAGCTTTCCTATTAAACTCATGTGGTACATGTGATTCCTGAATAGGGAAAATTGTTAATAGTCCCAAATATGTATACAGATTTAAAGTAATTTGGATCAGAGGCCCATTGTTGTTATTTTAACTGGTCAAGATGATGCTAAAATTAATATAGAAGAAAAAGTATAAAATATTGTCAAGAAAATTATGAAAGAAAACAAATAGTGAACGGGAACTTGCCATATTAAAACTTCCTATATGACTACTACAATCAAAATAATATGGATATTGGTTCAAGAATGAACAAATTGATCAGGAAACAGAGTCAAGTATCCTTTAAAATAAGAACTTGGTATATGGTGATGCTTACATTTCAACTTAGTGAGAAAAGGGAGAATTACCTTACACACAGTGTTAAAGTAATGGAATATTCACCTGGAAGAAAAAAATAATTTGTAATTTACAACAACTACAAACAGAATATTAGAATATAATTAAGGAGATTAAGAATCTTTGGGGTAGGGTATGGGCATTCATGGGGAAGGCAGAAAAATCCACAAATCATTAAAAAAAAAGGGAGAGACTTGACTACATAAAAACCTAAACTTTCTGAATGGCAAGAGGCACCAGTACAAAGTTAAAAGAGAAGTGACAGTTGGGAAAGAATATCTGCAGCATATATGACAAGATGGTAATTTCCCTTAAATACAATGACTACTGCAAATGGATGAAATACAACAAATATAATAGAAAAAGAGGTACACATGATGACCTATCAGTTTTCAGATGAGGAATACAAATAGCCAATAAACATCTGAAAATATGTGATACCTAAGTGGTAGTCAGGGATGTGTATATTAAAGAAATAAAGAGATATTATTTTTTATGTATTAGAGAGACAGAAATTGTTAAAAAAACGGTCAAATCTACTTTGGCAAAACTGATACCTCTAGGGCACTAGTGATGAATGTGTTCATAGCTAAAACATTTTTGAAAGCCACCTGGTAATATTAAATTTAAATGTTCCTATCTTCGACCTAGAAATGCCACATGTAGGGATCTAACTTACATAAAGAAAAGCACTAGTATTAATGGAAAAAGCTGAGTAAAACTGTATATTGCTGCATTTAAAAAATGAACACCCCAAACCCTGGAATTACCCTGAATATCCAAAAATAGGACAAGTATTGAATAAATTATTATTTATACTATAGACTATTCTGCAAATATTTACATAGGTCTATACTCAAAGATTTAGAAAAATATCCATGATATACTGTGAAGTGAAAAAAGCAAGGGACTAAGTAATATGTATAATACGATTGGATTTAATAAAAAGAAAAAACTATGTGTGTGAGTGTCTAAATATTAGATTATATAATATACTATGTGGTCTGTGTGTAAGTATGGAAAGACTTATGGATTAATTTCAAAATGTTAAAAGCAGAGAAATGGGATTAGATGGGGGAGGAGACTATTAATTTCTTATATCTCTATATTGCTTGATTTATTACATAAACCTTTATTACCCTCATGGATTAAACTGTGCCCCACCTCCAAATCCACACATTGAATCCCTAACCCCCAGTGTCTCAGAATGTGACCTCATTCGAAATTAGTTGTAGATGTAATTAGTTAAGCTAACATGAGGTCATGCTGGAGTAGGTTTCCTTTTGACTGGTATCTTTAAAAAGGTGGAAATTTAGGCACACAGGCAGACACAGGGGAAGACAGTTACCAACAGCCCAGGAGAGAGGCCTGGAGCAGATCTTTCCCCGACGGCCTCAAAAGGAGCCAGCCATTGCTGTCAACACTTTGACCTTGGAATTCTAGCCTCCAGGAACCGTGAGACAAATTTCTGTTGTTTGAGCCACCCAGTTGTTGGTGCTTTGTTATGGCAGCCCAGGAAAATGAATACAATTACTGTAGAAATTAAAAACCAATACAGTAGTTTTGAACAAGATGAAAAATGAAAAGAACTGTATTTTATAAGTTTATTCATTCAAGAAACATTTACTAAATATCTATAATGTGCCGGGTATTCTATGCTAATTATTTTATTTAGTCTTGCAGAAATGCCAGAGGATAAGAATCAGTGTCCACATCTAACAGATGCTCGGTAAGGTTCCCGTGTCAGTGAATACCCGGTGGGGCAGGAGGAGTCTGGCTGCCTCCAGCGCCCAGGCTGTGGCTGCTTTTCTGTACTGAGTCCCCCTACCTGGTGCTGGAT